GGACCGTCCCTTAACTTGAACAATATTTTAATTTTGTTGTGATGTGAAAGGCTCAAAGTATTCGGGATCGAAGCCTTCTTCATTCTAGTTTTTGTCATTCTGCTGGGACGTAGACATTTGTCTTCTTCTTCCTGTAAGGCCATTAAGAGCCTTCTTTTAAGCTCAACTTTGGAAATGTATTTTGTTTCTACTTGATTTAAGTAGTCAAGTAATTCATCTGCTTCACTAGTAACAGTTAAATTAATTGGGACAACCTTTTTAAGGGTGATTTTATTTGGGACAAGTTGTATGGTGGTGAAAATATCCCACCATTTAATATAAACTTGTCTTTCAAGATTTGGGATATAATCTCACCTATCATTATCGTCGCTTATAACATATTCCCATCTCATAATCCATGAGATTTCATATAAAATCCATAAATATAAATCTAGGTCTTTTTTACCAGCATTTTTATTGAACTCAAATTTTTTTTTTTCGATTCTTTAATAGAACAAAGAAGTATATCAAGCAAAGGTCCCCATGTATAAAACCAGCTTTTAAACCAATTTGGGATATCTCGTAGGCTTTTTAACCTGAACGGCTAAAACCAACTGTGTATACAAGCAGGATTTTGGTATGCAAATATTAAATCCCGCGCTTTTATATAGTCATGTTTACAGTGTAAAATCGAAGAGATCTCTAAAAGAAGACCCTCAGATCTGAATACCACAAATTGATTTTTAAAAAAAATGATAGAGATAGTGGGGACAATCAAATTCTGATTTGAGGCCAGATCTATAAAAAAACGAATAAATCCACTCTCAGATCCGTGGCAGAGCCAGCATCGATCCAAAAGCACGAAATACAATATAAAATGCGATAAAATAGATTTAATCGAATAAAAATAAAAAAATACATAAAATAAATGTATAAAGGTGAAAAAAATATCAGCCCGAGCTAGTTGGTGCAGGACTCCCGAGGCTTCGAGGCCTTATCCGTATCAGGACCGACTGAGTTTGTGTCGTGTGTCCTCTTTGTCACTCTATTCAAGTTTTGACCAAGCCTTCGCTTGGTTGAATTGTTATCTTGGTCTAAGGGTATTTAGTTTTTAAACAAAATAAGTTTCAAAAGTTTTTTTTTTTTCTTTCTTGCAAAGCAATTTTTTCTTTCCAGAAATGAGAAATGCCTTAAATTTTTTATTTTTTTTGAAAGCAAGATTGCCTTTAAAAGAAATTTTTTTTTTTTAGACAAAGATGCCTAATTTTTGGAAATGAGAAATTCCTTAAAATTATGTTCTTGAAAGCAAGATTGCCTTTAAACTTTTGTTTTTTAGACAAAGATGCTGTAAAAATTTGTTGATTTTCTTTTTTTTTTAAAAGAAGTGATTTTTTAAA